TAGTACATCGGCGAAGGTGCCCCCGGCGCTCCTGCGGGCCCTTGCGTCTGAGGGTGGTATTGATGGGGCATCATGGGAACGGGAGGTGGGGGCATACCCATATGGTGTGGAGGGATAGGGTAGTAGGCGTTCATTGGCATCATGCCCGGGGCGACACCGGGAACGGGAACTGTAGGGTGGTAGATATTGGGGATGGGGTTGGTAGCGGGTGCCAGGGTGGTGCTGCTATTGTTTCTTTGTGGTGGGGGTGCAGAGTCCTTTCTCGGAGACTCCCTCGACGGCGACTTGCCGATAACTGCGGCCGTTGTCTGTTCTTGCTGTTGGACAGAACTGGAAGCCATTGTAGGCAACATATCGCTCTTCTTCTTCTCCACCCCAGCCGAAAGCGCCGCGTCCGCCAGGGCATCTAGGCTCTCCAATCCAGCTCCTAATTTGGTGTCAACACTCAAACTAGGTCTCTTTGTTTTCTTCTACAAGTTCTGAATCAGTCAAACAAACACAATCAATGGACCATGGTAAACTCACCTCAGATCCACCAGTGCCAGCACTGCTGTCTTCTTCAACTCTCGCCCTCTTCACGGTCGCCCCCTCCGAGGTTAATGTATACTCCTCCGCAGCAGCAGCAACACCCCCTGCTCCATTTCCACCCACTTCATTTTGTTGCGCGTCTTGCAAGCTTCTTTTCATTTGAAGGTGTTGTTGGCTCTGTTTGGGGTCCTAGCATAATAACATAAATAATTTGGGAATGATGGTGATTTGTTGATCTGTCAAAACCAAAAATGTAGAAATTGTAGATGGCAATCCTGCGACTCGGCACTTCGTGCCCTGCACATAGGGACATCAGATGTCAAGGTGTTTCGAGCGTGTAATCGACAGTAGTAATAGATGTGTGTTAACGTACCAGTAACACTTTCTGCGATAGCTGTCCAGCTGCTGGTGGTGGTTCGTTGGAGGTCATCATCTTTGTTGTTTTGGGTTGACAGGTCTTTTGGTGCTGTTGATGTTGATGTGTGCGGAGAGCTGTACAAAACAGATACGTTAGGTCCATGAATTGTGAATGAGAGCGGATGATGAGCGTGTGACGAGTGTAGGATGAGTGTGTGTGTGGGCCTGGAGCAGATGGCCAGTGCCAGTTGTTGCGATTCAAGCCCCGACTGATGTTGTGTTTGCCTTCCAGGTGGGGCGACCACATAGACCACACCCCCTCAATGTGCTAGAAGTAATTCACTCACCTTGTCTATAGCAAGTCTATGTGTACGTTGCAGATTATCTCTATGTCTGCGCTTCTTCTGTAGGTGGGTCGTTCGTATCTCCTCTGCTGCTGCTGCTGCTGCTCGAGCTGAAAGCACAATCTCTAACAAACACAGTTGACAGGTTTCAAAGAGGGAATTTGGAGGGCCAGCGTCAAACTGATTGCCAGAGAGTTTGTTGCAAAATATGGGGACAAGCGTCAATCACTTGTTGCTGTCGTTTGTTGAATAATCTGAATGATTAAATCCTGTTTGATGATGACCACAGTCAGTTTCTGCCGTTGCTATAGTTTGCCAGTTGCCGATGTCGCCGTGAAGTACCAGAAGTAGCCTGCTGTGAGACCAGCCCGAACAGTCAAATCTTCAGCTTCGCCTCTCCACTGCAACCAACCACCTACTAGCTACTCTGACAGCTGCTGACAGGATCGACTTATCGAGTATCGCAGACTGGAAGTGAAGCTGTCAGACCAAGTTGGGTGGAATGGACAGGTCAGTAGTCAGTCGGGGGGCGGAGAGGGCGCGAAGACGGCGCGAAGACGGCGGGCAAGTTGGGCGCCCGTTAGCGGAGATTGAAAAACAAATCCTCAATCAAGCTGACATATCCTGACAATTTCAAGTGCAATGTCGTTTTGGGACTTTGTGGCCTTGGACCCTGAAGCTCCCTGAAGTCCTGACCAGGCACGACAGAGTCCAGCGATGAGCATTCGTAGGAAGCGTTCGACACATTGGGAGCAGGAAATATTTGATCCTCCAAGTACGATTTATCACAGTTGGAATTATTAAGACTGTCAAGGCTAAACTCGCTCAATCTTACTACTTTCTAACTTCACTTACTACAGTAGCCACTAATCAGTGGGGATTAAACTGCGAGCTAGCAAGCTAGTGCAGACTACCGTAACTGGAAGGCTGCTCTACGGCACTGTGCACCGTCCTACTCGTCATGGAATTGTTTTGACCCGCCGCCTTCCATAAATTTAGCTGTAAAGTAATTTTATGCAAAGCGCTCACCGCGATGCGAAGCCGCAACCACGGTCCGCGACTCCACCATCCTCCAAACGAAGCCTTCTGGGCTCTTGTGACGCCGAGGTAACGTGGAGTTCCTGCTTGAAATGTCGACAATCGAGACACAATCGATTATGCAGAACGGTTCACAAGAGACTTCGCCACGATAAACGCCAAGAAGGTGTGAGAATCGGGAGACGTCAAGTTGTAATAACTTTCGATATGTTTCCCACCCACAAAACACATATATAAGTCACCCGAGAAAATCGGCTGCGAAGTACAATAGTGCTGATGAATGTCTCCTTCTCTCTTTGGTGGCGGACAGTCGAGCAACATCACGAGGGGATGCATTGCTTGCAATGTAGTTGGGATGGTGCACAGTATCCTTCAACCATATCGCACACTGTGTTTGCCCTCTCCTTGTGACACTTATCAACTACAGACTAGCTGCGGACTACCGAAAATGATATTAGGAACCTCCTGCAACTTGGGTAACCTTTCGATATGAGCATGTAAGGCTAACCCTCTGCTTTCTCGATAGGATACGAGCCTACGGCCATCCAAAGCCTCAAAACCTCAGACAAAATGCTTCAAGTAATGTTCACCTTAGTCATCTGAGTCGTGATGGTAACAAAAACAGAAAAATTTATCGGCCCAATGGTCTAGTAGTATGATTCAACCTTAGGGTGGTTGAGGTCCCGGGTTCAATTCCCGGTTGGGCCCCATT